AAAAAAGTTATAAAATAACTGAATCTTGTTATTTGAATAGTGAATATTATCATTCAATTAAATGGTATAAAAAAACAATTATTTATTTTTTTTCTTGAATATATTCTATGTCAATAATTTTTGAATTATGATATTTATGACTTATTTTATATTTTATTTTTTTAAAATTATTTAATTGATATGTTAATTGTTATAACAAAATATTTTATTTTATCAATATATTTCAGCAAAATATCATAACCAAAAATTTCATTAAAATAAAATTTAGCTTTTATTTTTTTAATTATTTTACTATTTTTTAATATTAAATTTAAAAAATAATAACTAGATGTTTTGTTTTTTAGATATTCAAATATTCTATATGGTTTAATTTTAGTAATAAAAGAAGAATAAATAAAGGTATTTTTTTTTTATACCATTTAATTGAATGATAATATTCACTATTCAAATAACAAGATTCAGTTATTTTATAACTTTTTTCTTTAATATATTCTTGCTTATCTTCTTGTAATTCATTATATAAAATATGTAAAGTTTTTGTATAATTAGAATATTCAAAATATTCATCTCATAAGAATAGAATTATATGAATACATATTATTCTTGAAATAAGTATTAAAGATAATAGATATTTTATATTATTTTTGTTAAAAATAATAATTTTATTTAATATTTCTGTTGGTAATTGATTCATTGTTTTATTTTTATTGAATTAAGAATAATAATTGAGTTTATATAATTTAATATTTTAATAATATTATTAATGTAATAAAATTATAAATATTTAATTTACAAATTTTATTTTAATAAAATTATAATAATTAATAATTAATTTAATTTATAAATATTAGCAAAATATTTTAATATTTTATTATAATAAAACAAAATGTCTAAAAAAGAAAAATTAAGTAATAAACTTCAATATGATTGTTTTTATTATAGTATCGATGATGATAAAACAATTATCACTATAATTCTTGATTATATAAATAACAATCAAGAAATATTAAAAGATAAAGATATTATAAATAAATTTAAACAAATTATTAAAATATTTTCATATCTAATAAAAATTTAGATGAATCAAAAAATTTTAATTTAGAATTAAAAAAAGATCATAAATCTGATAATGAATATATTATTGTACCTAATTAGTTTGATTTTAATATAAAAAAAATATATTTTAATATAATTCATGAAGAATACCAATATCTAAATCTTATCAAGAATATTTTAAATAATGGTAAAAAAAGAAGTGATAGAACTGACACTAGAATTTTATCAATTTTTTCTCCTACTCAATTAAGATTTAGTTTGAGAAATAGCAATTTTTCTCTTTTGACAAGTAAAAAAATATTCTTCAGAGTAATTGCAGAAGAACTTTTTTGGTTTATTAATGATAGTACAAATGTTAGAATATTATGAAAAAAAGAAATTCATATTTGGGATAAAAATGCAAAAAATAATCATGTTTTAGGACCAATATATGCATTTCAGTTACAATATTTTGATGCAAAATATATCAATTCTGTAACTGATTATACTGGTTAGGGTATAGATCAATTGGAATATATAATTAATTTAATTAAAAAGATCTTTCTAGTAGAAGAATTCTAATTAATTATTGAAATCCTAAAGATTTAGATAAAATGGCACTTCTGCCTTGTCATGTTACAGTTCAGTTCTATGTAAACAATTTAAATGATGATACAAAAAAGAAAAGTTTATCATGTCATGTATTTCAGAGATCTGGAGATATGGGATTAGGTGTACCATTTAATATTGCAAGTTATGCATTATTAACTCATATGATTGCTAACATCACTAGTCTTGAAGCTGAAAAACTTATTTTAATTCTTGGTGATGCACATATTTATAATAATCTTATTAATGATTTAAAAAAACAAATAAAAAGAGAACTATATGAATTTTCAACAATTTCATTTAAATCTAAATATAATAATTTAGAAGAATTTAAATACAAAGATATTATTTTAGAAAATTATAAATGTCATAATAAAATTGATCTTAGTATTTCTTAATTTATTTGTTTAATTTTTTTAAATTAATATTTTAATATTTATATTATTAAAATTATATATTAATATTAAAAATTTTATAATTAATTAGTAATTGAAAATTTATATTTAAATCATTAAAATTTTATTTATTTTGATATTAACTTATATGATAATAAAACCAGATGAATTATAAATTATTAATAACAACTATATTCACTATACTTATATTTTTAAGTGTATTTTTTAGTCTTGGTTATCTAGAAATAATAAGAAATAACTTTACAAAAACAAGTTGTAAAGTTATTAGAAAATGAAATATTTCAAGTTATTGTTGTTATAAAGAATTTAGTACCTGTAATAATGCACCTATTAATTCTAATACATGTATTTCATTACTCAATACTTGAAATTCTCTTGATCCAATGACTTGTAACAATACATGTTCTTCTACTGATGATACTTCATTATATAAAGATAGTTATCATTGTTGTGCTCAAAGTTGTATACAATCATGTTCAAAATCTGGATCTTCATATACAATACAATGTAATTGTGTATCATGGGTATGGAATATTGAATATAGTATTATATGTTCATTTTGTTATACTACAGTTATTGAAGTTAAATATAATACATCTCAAGGTATTCAGATTTCTAATAATACAAATTATTTTGGACAAGATAAGATAGCTTCAGAATATTATATGAATAGCTTTTCATTAACAAAACCAATTGATTGTTTTTATGATCCTGAAAATGTTTTAAATGTTTTATTTAATGTAAATTATACTATAAAAACATGGGTAATTTTTGAAGTTGTTAGGTTATTTTTATATTTAAATTTTATAGTTTTGACTTTATATTATTCAAAAGAACATTCTTCAGTTACAAGAGAATATTGATTAAATGTTGTTTTATGTCCATAGTTTGGTACTATACCATCAATAATTTTTATATCTGTTTTACATGCTTCTAATGTTAATACAAATGTTTTATATACAATTTCATTAATATTAACTACTATTTTCTGGTCTAATATTCTATTTGTTGAATGGCAAAAGAAAATTAATGATATTCATAAAGTATATTTTATAGTTTTTAGTTTATTTACATTCCTTATTTTATTATTTGGATTATTAGAAATATTTTTAAAATCAAATTATAATTTTATATTTATTGAATTAGCTATAATTATATTTATTTTATCTATTACTCTCTTCTTTTTATAGAAAAGAATTATAAGATTATTTAATTATTCTTCAAAATCTATCAATAATTATATTACAAATAGTAATAAGAAAGATGATTTACTATTAGCATATAAATTACATAGGTTTTAAATTAATATTATTTATATTAAAATTTAAGAAATCAATTATGTTTATGTTATAAATTTATTAATAAAATATTATCAATTATTAATTAATTTAGTTTATAAATATCAATAAATATTTTATTATTACATATTAAAAATGTCTCAAGAAAACAAATTATTTAATCAACTTGAAAATAATTGTTTTTGTTTTGGTAATATAAATAATAGAACAATTATTACTACAGTTCTTAATTATATAAAAAATAATCATCAAGAAATAATAAAAAAAGATACTGCATATAAATTAAAACAAATTTATAAAATAATTTATAAACAAGATAAAAAATTAGTTAAATTCAAGAATCTTTACCTAAAATTAAAAGTACAAGATTATAAATTTGATGATGAGTTTTATAACATATATAATAAATTAATACTTCAATTTGAGATTAATGTGTGTAATGAAACACTTTGTTGTTTAAAGAAAAAAATCCAGATATAAAGAATGAAGAATTATTTAATCATATTTAAGAAGTTCATAATACAATTTTAGATTGTTTAGCAGTATTATCTTTATATAATGGTGATGTTAGTGAATATGAGAAATCTGAAGAATATAAATATTTAGTTAATAGAGAAGCATTATGACAATATAGAGAATATGAGCATTAAAATTTATTCAGTAAAAAAATAAATAAATATTATTATACATATTTTTTTTTTTTTAGTTTTAAATTTTTTTTTTTTTGGTATTAAGGTGAGGTTTTGTTTTTATCTTTATTAATAATTTGTTATGAGCAACTACATGAGTTGACATAGGTCAGAGCCAATTTACAAATTTTTTACAAGAATAAAACTCAGAATATAGATAAAATTATTATCTAATTTATCTAATTTATCTGCAACCTAAACCTACTAGAGTGGTTAAAACTCACCTAGA